TTGTGACTCAATGGTTAAGCACCCCTGGATTTAATTCTAGCTACCCAAAATAAAAATAGAATAGATATGAAGATCCATCAAACATAAGAGCATGTTACTTCCTAGGGGTGTAGTAGGGAAAATCCTATGCAACTCTGTGACATTATTGTTTGTTGCTATTGCTTTTTAAATAGGAAATGCTTAGCAGCATAGGCCATATTAAAAAAAATAAAGAAAGGTAACTTTAGTCAAACTTAAAATTGTTTTTCTTTGAAAGAAATTCCTAAGAAAACGAAAATGTTCAATACAGATTGAAGGAAAATATACCTGTATATGAAAAAAAAAACCCTTATATCCAGAATAAAGAATGACTTTTTATACTCAATAATAAAAAGACAACCCAGTAAATAGCATCAAAAATTTGAGCCAGCACTTTAGATAGAAGGTTTAAAAATGATTGATAATCACCTAAAAAGATTAGCAATAACAGAGAAAGTGCTGCAATTTAATAAACTGCAACAAAATACTATTACCATGAGAGACTATAAGATTTCAAAATGAAAAGATTGGCAACATTAAGTATGGGCAATATTAAGTATTTGCAAACATTAAGTATTTGACCCAGTTATTCCACTTTTTGATATATATACCCAAAAGACATAAAGTCAGCATACTATAGTGATGCAGCCACATCCATATTTATAGCAGCTTAATTCACAATAGCTAAACTGTGGAACTAAACTAGGTGCCCTTCAACAGATGAATAGATAAAGAAAATGTGAGATACACACACACACACACACACACACACACACCATGGAATATTACTTGGCCAAAAAGAATTACTTTATGATAATTGCCAGTAAGTGGGAGGATCTGGAAACTATCATGCTAAGTGAAATAAGCCAGTCTCATAAAACCAAAGGCCGAATGTTCTCTCTGATATGTGAATGCTATCACACAATGGATGAGAGGGACAGGAAAGGATTGGATTAGACAAAGGGGAATGAAGGGAAGGGAGGGAGAATGGGAATAATAAGGATAGTAGAATGAATTGGACATAACTTTCCCGTGTTCATATATGAATACACCACCAGTGAAACTTCACATCACATACAACCATAAGAATGAGATCCTAATTAGAATAAATTATACTCTATGTTTGTAATAATATATCAAAATACACTCTAGTGTCATGTACATCTAAGAAGAACAAATAAAATAGAAAAAAAAGAAGTGGAACAACTGTAACTCTCCTATATTGTGAGTAGGAATGTTAAAATAAAGTCACTTTGCAAAACTCAAAGTTTCTTATAAAATTAAACAGACACATTTGAGAGAAAAATTCCCCCACAAAAGAGGTATAAGAGAGAAATTATAACATACTTGCTTTTAAAAATATGTGTGTAAAAATATCCGTAACAACTTTTACTACAATAAACAAAAATGGAAAAAAATCCTTATTTCCATCAGTGGGTGAATGGACAAAAAAGTAACCTATGTTAAAACAATAGAATACAGTTCAGCAATAAAAACAAAAAAATTAGTAACCAAAAACATAAGTAGATTTCAAAACTTCCTGAGCCAAAGCAGTCAAGCAGTAAAGTACAGATTATATAAGTCCATTTGTATGAACATCTAACATAAAATTAAACTATATTTCCAAGAGCAGATCAGTGGTTATCTGAGGTTGAAAAGGAGCAGAAGGAACTTTTTAGGGTAATGTCAGAATTTATCCAACTATACACTTAAACAAGAAGTTTTCATTTTGTGTAAACAAGCAGCATTACTTTTAAAATAAGTGAGAGAGAGAGAACCAAACTCCCTGATTTGTAATGGAAACAGTGCCATTTATTATATATTGAGCATGTGCCAGGCCTTCGTCTAAGCACTTTAAATGCTCAATCCCATTTCTCCTCACATCTCTAACAAGTAGAAACTATTACTACCCATGTCTTATAGATGACAGAAGTAAGTTTCAGAGAGAACAGCCCTTTTTTATTGCATTAAATGCTCAAGGATTATTGACCATTTTCTCAAAGTTTCTAGAAAGCTAAAGAATTTCCTGTTTTTACTTTTTAAATTGCTTTTTCTTGGCACTGAGATTTAGTCTAGTTCCTGTGGAGTGAAACCTTGAAGATCAATACATCTGTTTAACAGTATGCAATCTCTGGAATTCTCATTGAGGTTTGCTTCCTCTATAAAAAACAGACCAAAATGATGACTCCCATTATTATCAAATGTAAAATAAAAACCAGTAATGGAAGAAGTATGCTACTTTTGAATGTAAATTATATATAAATATCTGTGCTGTGTGCATGTAGTTTCTTCCCAAATGTGGCAATTTTCCTACATTTAAAGGTTTTTATTCCCTTTAGGGATAAACTGAAAATTTAAAAAAGAAAAATACTTTTGATATATAGATAATATTCTAAAATAGTATTGTAATGCATTTTCTGAAATAGAAAAGTTAACAATCTCTGAATTAAAGATAGTATTTTCTAAAAGAATATCACGTTGATGGCAGCATATTATACTTTGCAGAGAATGTATTATTAAAAGGGAACTTTCCAGGGGAAATATTTGATCTTCTTCCTCAAAATTCCATTTCCTTAGTATATAGGGGAGAGTCAGAATGCTATTTTCAGTAGTGTCCCTGGTGGTTTCTGATGGTTCCTTCCTCAGACATGTCTTACTCCTCTATGGTTAGTTATTATTGGAAGCAGATGGCAAGCATGTAATGAAAATAAAATGTATTTGCTTCAACAACTTAAGATATGCACATCGTATTTGTCAGAAGAACTTAATAAACATGCCCCTTTTCAAGAGCACATCCCACAACCAGAAGTTCTATGTGTAAAATGCAGAATGTCTCACTCTAGCTCATGAATTTCATTGAATAACAAAAAGGTAATCATTATTATTCTTTAACTTAAGACCTAATTTGTCTCTTCTCAAAATAAGTTAATTTGCATTCCAAGTTACCCTATCAGACACTAATCTTAAGATTATACACACACAAATACATCTATATGGACACAGATATTTATAAATATATACACACATACATATATATGTATACACACATAAATGTCTATATATGCTTAACTATTGTTTTAGCAATATTAGAAACAACAGAAGTACAAGATGGTCTATGATCTTTGTTGCCCCTTGAAATTCACTATGATCATATCAAACAAGTAAAATCTTTTAACAGTGAATATTATTAAGAAATAAGAAAGTTTTCTACAAAGAAGGGCTTATTAAAATCTATGGTAAAATAAATATTTTTTGGAATGAATGTGTGAACTTTCTACAAGAATAAATTGAACACTTTTATCTTGTGATGCTTGCCTACATAACTTGTATTGTGATGAAACAGTAGTCTTGGGTCTATGTCAAGGCACACGAGCCCACACATATACCCAAAGAACAAAAAACTATTTCTTAAAAAAAAGACACTTATAATACTAATATTTTCACTCCTAGAAGAGTAGAGAGGAAGACAGGTGCTGACCTTTTATAAATAGACATCAAAGAACTATTTTACTGTTCTTTTTTTCTAAACAAGGTTGACAACACTAAGTCAGTATTCATCTGAACACCTCAAATCCTCCAGCAATGATAAGAAAACTGGATACTATAAGTTTTGAGATTTGGAGAACAGGAAATAAAAAAAAAACAGTGTGTAGTTAAAACTACCTCTTTATGTGGTCATCTATGTGTAAAATTCAATAAAATCAATACAATTTATTGAACATGGACTATGTACAAAACATCAAGATTTGGAAGGGCCCAGGAAGAACAAGAAAACCCTTTTATATCTCCATGAATTATACAGTCTATTGTATAATGTGCTGGATTATGTTTATTCATAAACAAACTGAGCAAACAATATCTGTGATCATGCCCACTGCTGGGAGTAGAGAGACAGATGTTAGGTCAAGTCTTCAAGAATAAATGGACAAGAAAACAAATGAATACGGTGCTCGACACTATGGTAGGAGTGATGTGGGATGGTGGAGGATAAAATAGTATGCATGAAGAATAAATGCACAAGGGGAACCAACAATTCACTTTACAAACTAGAATCAACATAATTTTCTCCAGCTTTGTAAAGGGGGATTAACAAATAACTGGATTGGGCTGGAGATGTGGCTCAAGCAGTAGCGCGCTCACCTAGCATATGTGCGGCCCGGGCTCGATCCTCAGCACCACATACCAACAAAGATGTTGTGTCCTCTGAGAACTAAAAAATAAATATTAAAAATTCTCTCTCTCTCTCTCTCTCTCTCTCTCTCTCACTCTCTCTTTGAAAAAAAAAAGACTGTCAGTTACAGAATGATATTTAAAAAAAAAAAAAA